ACTTGTTTGTGATAGTTCTTCATCTGTATCTAGTTCTGTAATCATGTTGTAAGGTATCACTAGGAGGTCTTTACTATGTTTAGGGATCTTGTATATCTTCTGTGCTTTTTCGTATAACTGAATAATTAAGTTAAGATCACAACTTCATGTAGTTCTGAGAAATTTGGCACTGATGTTTACGGAGTTGTTTCTAGTAATTGTGAAGTCAAAAAGTATTGATTGGGCAGCTTCTTTGTGCTTGTATAACCATTGTATTAGAAAGGTAATGAGGTTGGAGACGTGATCAGATTTAGTAAGATCGACTGTAAAGAGATATTTGTTGACGAAGTCAGAGACAAGGAAGGTAACTGTAAAGATGAGTTTAACAGGGTATTTTATGTTAATACTAATAAATTCTTTTGCATATTCAGTAAGAGGATTAGTAGTAGTTGAAGTTGTAGATGAAGGATTCTTTGGAATAGCAGATTTATTAGTAAAATAAGCTAATGAAGAAGCGAAAAAGGTGCTTTGGGAGGTTGTTTGGTTCGGAGTTTGTAGTAGATTGGTTTGTAGGTTTTCTACTGTTTTTTGATGTTTTTTGGAACTGACATCTTGTGTCTGTATGCTGAGTCAGTAAAAATGTAAAGGTCCTTAGGACCGTTTTCACTAAAGTGAGAGTTGTTTTTTGGAGTTCTGTTTTTGGTGTTGTTACTATTCAGGGTTGCTAGTGAGAGGTTTTTCTGAGATTGCCACCTCTTTTAGGTCAAGTTCAGTATTTAGAACAAGTTTAATTAAGGGCCCAAAATCGGTTTACTTAGTAGTTATTGCTGTATTCTTGCTAGAAAGTTTTTTACTTTTTGTCCAGTTTTGATAAAATAATCTATAGAGAAGAGTTTGAAAACTTTTATTTGTGTTATTTAATTATATATAATAATCTTTTTAATAAATATGTCAATTTATTTAGTAAATACAAAAGATTTTAATGTCTAAAATGACCGTAGCATACTAAATATTTTTATCTATGTTATCTAATGATATATAATAATCTTTTTAATAAATGTGTTAAAATTCGTAAAGTCATAAGTTTGTTAGTGAGATTCGTGGATAGTACCTTTAATTTTTTCATAAAAAAATTTATTGCATTTTAGGCCATACAATATTAAATAATTGTTTCTCATAATATAGAATTCTTAAAGTGACCCGCCCGCCCGGCTTTTAATTTTTAAATCGCAAAAATTTTATAATTTTTCTTTGTCTAAAAAATATTTAGAACATATAAAATATTTTATTAAAACCACCCGAAAGTATTTATAGTAAATAACTTATAAAATTTTGTATCGAAGATTTACAAAAGCTGGTCTGGCCGGGTTATGAGAAACAATTAATTAATTTTATATGGCCTTAGTTATTTTAGTGATAATTATTTTAATCTGGCTAACTTTTTTTTTGGATGATGTTATGTAAGTCTTGTAGCTTAATCTCCTAATATAGCTTGAAAATCAGACAGGCCCTTATTTGTAATAATTTTTAATTTTGGACTGTTATATGTAAGAAGTTTTATTTAGGCCCTCATCTGTAATTATTTTCATTTTTGAGCCTTTATGTGTAAATTCCTCTAGATTTTTTTGTAAAATTAAATTTATAAGTCCATTATCCATTTGACTCAAAGATATGACAAATCATTGGGCATGGCTAATAAGAATTATTTGGTAGAATTATTTAGCTAATGCTTACTCGCCACACGAAGATTGGTCACATTCTGATGCCAAATGAAAGAGGAGCCTAATTCTTTACAAGTAAACCTTTTTCTAATCTTTAGGACTAGGGTAAGTGTAACCATTGTTCTTTTTTCGTATGAGGTTATAGGAAAATTAGCTTTGTTTCGAAAGAATTCTTTTCTTTTACAAACTGTACGTATTATCATAATATTCATATGTCCATCATAATTTGTGTTTTCGTACAGCACTAATTTATTATATATTTGATATCCATAGTAATTGAGTAAAAATAGAGTATATACAAAGTACATACGCGCATACATAATTATGATGTATAACATCCAAAGTCAGTTTATTTCGATTAAAGTACGATTGTTTTATTACGTTACAAATAAAGGCTTTAAATTTAATACATCACCAACTTTGCTCTGGAAGGGCCAAAGTTGATGCATTAAATTCAATATGAATATCTAATGATAATAAAGCTTAAGCAAAATTTTTTCTTTTTTAAATAATGACAGAAAAGCTTTAAGAAATTTCTTTTTAAACAAAATAAGAACAACCCAAGCAAATCTATCATCTTTATCATATTATGGGCAACAAAGCCACCTACATAATCGTGTCTCTAATTTTCTAAGTAAAAAAATTGCGTGTAAATTAAATCTAAAAAAAAACTGCTTTATAGTTAGGGTAATAATTAGATTAAGTCAACAGCTACCAGTGGAATTTCACAAAAAACATTTTTAATTAGGCTACAGAAGATTGTTTCCTAATAAGAATTTAAAGTTATTCCTGTTTTTTTGTAAAAAAAAAGGGAGTTCGTTTCGATTCCTACTGACTGGTCAAAATTACAGAGGGTGACCAATTTTTTGTGAAAGCAAGGGCTCATGAGAAGACATTCATATGATTGGTTGCTTTTTGATAGATCTATCCATGAATCAAAAAATACATAATTAGAAAATGAAAAAAAATTTTCACGTAAAAAAACTTACAAAGTAATAAATATACGTAAAAGAATGTATTAATTACTTTTAGAAAATCGATAAATATGCATAAAGTGGGTAAATGTGATATTTATTACTAATAAACCCAAACTCATTAAAGAATCTACATATGGGATCTATGTACAAAACAACAAAACTTTAACTGCTAATATACAGTAAACGAACTCAAATGCACTACAAGAACCAGCTAAATTTAAATATTTTAAGCTCGGATCTTCTAGTACTAAAAGCTTGTACCTATCCAATTAAACAGTTAGAATAAAAGTTTATCTAAATCTAACATAAGTTTTAGACGAAAACGTTTCCAGTTATCTTTACTCAACAATATGGTCCAATAAATGGTAAGTATGCTTTGTCTTCTAAGTATAGTACTTGTGATTACTGCTTATTTCTAATTATTTTTGCATGGTGTATTTGTTGTGCGTCATTTCTTGATCCCTGTTAATTCGGAATCAACATGTGTCATTTTTGAATCAATGAATAACTTATATCACTTTGGAATTGGTATAAACTTTACCAACGAACAAATATACACAGTAATTTTTATACAATATCATATATTTTTTTAATACCTACCACAGTATTGCCAAGGGACATCATTGATGTTCATTTTCATTAAATATATATATTAATGAGTGCTGCTTATATTTTAAATAAATATACATAAAATACTAGATGCTTTCTTTACAAATTCGAATGTTCAAAACTTAAGTATTAAAAAAAAAAGCAAATGCAATTCTTAAAAAACATGTATATAAAAAGAAAGCTAATACATCTTGTTGAAAAAAATTTATTATTTAACGATTTGTATATTGATTGCGCAAAATGCATCCACACCACCTTGAGCATAATGAATTGTTTCTTCTATATGAGCATGATTTAGTATTGCAATTTGTCTTTTTACAATGACAGCAATCGTGAGTTTTTTTAGGCATTGAATATGTTAAATTATCACTAGTGTTAGTATATAAAATTCAGTAAGTAAAGCCTAATAAATAATAAATAATAAAAATGACCAAAAAAAAAAAAAAACTCTGTAACAGTAACAGTAAAGTTACTTTGACTTGAAGATTGAATTTGGTGTGTACGGTTTTGTTTGATGCCTGCTTGTCGTAATGAAAGTGTATTATTCAATGAAACGATATCAAGATCAGGGTAATCTGGTGTGCCTAATGGCAGGAGTTTACTTGCTGGATACCAGTTCTCAAGAATTCCAAACTGGCATGCAACTTGATAAGAATCTTGGTTTGGTTTTTTTTGAATAACTTTACAAGGCAATGATTTTCGATCCATCTTCACCTTATCAATATCGGAAATGCAGATTTTCACAAATTCACCAGATTTAAATGCATGGTTTCGCTTGGTCTTGTGCTTTATTTCCATAGTGCTTCTGATAAATTCCTGATTTTTTTTTACATTTAGGATGGCGGTTTGTCGAATTTTCTTATGGTTTTCAAAAGAGGGTCGAGTTGAATTTGTAATAATACGTAAGGGTGACCTCTGCTTAAAAAAAAATTATAATAATATTAGTTACAGTATGTACAAAATACAATGTTAAATGATACACAACAAATACTTCATTTTTGTGTAACTCAATTGAGTCAGCTTGCCATTTTCTTTTTTTATAATTAGTAATATCCTGTTTAGAATTACTGATTTCAATGATTTCCAAATTTGGTATATTAGTATTATTAATTTCAGGACTATTTTCATTTACAAATTTGGAATATTCTGAATTAGAAAGCTCTTCATTAGCAAAATAGTTATCATCTGGTAAAAAATAGAGTGGATCCAATTCATCGTCATTTGAGCATTGATCATCATCATTTTTTTTAAACAAATCTTGGTTATTATTTTCAAACGAATAATGATCATCGTTATTATCTTGATAGTTATAGTTGTCTTTAAATAAATCTTGATGATCTTCTAATAACTCTTGATCTTCTAACAGTTCTTGATAATCTTCCAATGGTTTTTGATGATCTTCTAACAGTTCTTGATAATCATTTTCCTCAGACAAGTTATGATAACTATCTTTTAAAATAGAAGATATTTTTGTATCACTATGGGCAGGTTGCCCAAATATTAGATTATATGGTGTAGTTTTGTGAGCCTTGCAATATTGATTATTCATGACCCAAATAACAAATTTTAATCCAACACTCCAATCATTTCTATAGGTTTCTTCCATTCATGCTCCAAGTTTATTTTGAAGAATACCATTCCCTTTTTCTACCAAACTTTGACAGCATGGGTTCTAGGCCTAACATGAACAGTTTTAATAGATGGCCAGAGATTAATTGTCTCTTTAATAGTTTTTCCAACAAATTCACCACCGTTGTCTGAATGAAGGACTGCTAAAGGACCATACATTAAACAAAAATTAAATAAAACCATAGCAGCATCCTCAGCTGATTTAAATAATGTAGGCTCTGCATAAGAAAATCTTGAGAAGTGATCTCTTAAGTGAATGATATATTTGTATTGCCTATCTGGCACTGCTGTCATGTTGATAGTATCGATCTATAATACAGTAATATAGTAAACATTAAAACTAAAACTTTTTAAATAAATCAATATCATTATTAAAATTTAAAAAACATACTTGAACATGGATCAAGAAACTTTCAGATACTATAGGCCGAATAGGTGGAACTTTTTTAATTGATTGTCTTGTGATGCATACTCGACACTCACGTACTGCATCTTCAACAATTTGCTGTGGTATGTAGCAATATCTGACCCGTAACTAAAATGGAAATTGTTTGTTTAATAAAACAAACAAATATGTAACTTTGATAATTTGTAATTTACTTTTTTCCAGGTTTTCTCCTGACCTCCATGCTCAGTTTCTTGATGCGCAATGCGAATAGTTTCATAAAAATTTTCAATAGGACAGATCTGTGTTCCCAAATTATTTTCATCATTTTTAAGCAAATGAAGTTTCTCTGTTGTACCAAAGCGAAGCATTTTAAACATATGAGTAACCCAAAATTTAAGTTTTGGATTATGTGAAAGATTAGGGTTTTTTAAAATATTTAAACATTCATTGTAACGACTCATATCCATTAAACCTCGTTTATTTTTTTGTTGCCTGGTATACATGTTTAAAATTCAGTCAAAAGATTCATGAGCGAGAAAAGTAAAAGTTTGCATTTTTACTATGATTAATTAAAAAACAATGAAAATTTCGAAGATATTTTAAAAAAATAATCGCTTTATATGATACGCAATTGGGCTACTTTATTGGTAAAATACGCAATTGATAAAATACGCAATTGATAAAATACACAATTAATAAAATACGCAATTAATAAAATGCGCAATTAATAAAATATGCAATTAATAAAATACGTAATTAATTAATTAAACTTTTATTGATATCGATATAATAAGTCTGATAACTATTTGGACCCGAATCACTGATTGACATGGGTCATTTATTGATCGGTGGAGATTCAAAAATGACACATGTTGATTCCGAATTAACAGGGATCAAGAAATGACGCACAACATATCTAAGGTTTCTGGGTAAATTGTTTATTAGTGAAACGTTACATTACCAAAAAGTACTTTAAAAGTGTATAAATAAGTTACCTGAGCAATTGATTTACATCAGCCAATCAGACGAATGTCTCCCTATGAACCGTGCCCAGGAACAGTCGATTTATGTTAATTATAATTTTTGCAATTTTAAATGCATGTAACAATACCATTTCGGGCAGAATTAAGTGTATAATTTCCATAGAAAGACTTTCGTATGATTGGCTGTTAACATATTACAGTAATAGTTCTTAAAGATAGATAGAATTAGGTTATTACCATTCTAATTTCTCTAAAACAAAAAGAGATTTTGGTTATTTTTAATATTGAAGTTCTATAATCATAATAAAACTTTTAATATACTTCCTTTTTGTTTATTCTTCGTAGTTTTATTATTTTTTTAAAAAAAGTACTTTAAACCGTATAAATAATGTAAAATTAAATTGATTTAGACAGTCAATCATACGAAAGCCTTCCTATGAGGGCACGGTACTCCAGGCATGTTGTGCAGAAAATTTTTGAGGCATGCCTATAGGCCTAAAATTTTATGTGCCCCAACCCCAGTTGCAGCATCATGTGACCAGCGCGTACGCGTATTGATTATATTGATTTACATTCTTAGATTACAGTACAAAACAAATGACATCATTTTGAGTTATTTAAAAATTTCAGATCTACCACACTAATTTCTTCGATTTTTGTTTTAACGGTCTTGGATTAAAAGAAAAAAAGGCTTTAGCAGATTTACTTTGTAAGAACTCATTGATTTTTCTAGTCGACGACTTTGCAAGTAATAACAATCTTGGATCAAGAGAAAAAGCATAACTTTGTAAAACCGACGTTTTAGTTGAACGAAAATTTGATTAGCAACTTTTAAGAAAGAAAGATATAAGTGATTTTACCTCCGATTAAAGAAGATTTTCATTCAAAGAACAATTAAATTCATCAAAAACAACCTTTCTTTTTTTTATATATTAGATTTTGGACCTCAAATATAAAGTGTTGATATACATCGAACGTCAGTGTCTTATCGAACAAAGATAGTAACGTGATAAGAAATCTAATGCTTATAGTTTTGAAATAATCTTTTGAGGAAATTTAAGCGGGAGGCCACCACTTTCATCCTTTAAAACAACGTTTTCGCTTGTCGTTCATATTAAAGAAAACCAACACCGTTCTATTAAATGGAAGCAACGAAATCGAAAATTTTTAGTCACCGAATTACAACAAAAGAATTTTTTTCAAAGAAAAACAAATTTGATATTCTAAGGCAAGTAAAACTTTAATTTTTTTAATATGCAGGATTTAGATAGTTTTATACGTTATAGGATTGGGGTTAACTGTAAGAAGTTTTCCCCGTAATTTCTAAGTAAGTATCTATGAAAGCTGAACCACGACTAGGGATGGAATCGGCTACGGCTATAGCCGGCTGTAGCCGGCTATAGCCGTAGCCGATATTAGCCGACCGAGCGGCTTAGCCGACCGGCTAGCCGATGAAAGATTTTTAATT